ACACACACACACACACACACACACACACACACACACACACACGAGTGAGGGAAAGGAAGTACTGTTTAGAGCCAGTGTGACTTTCTCCTCTACACACACACACACACACACACACACACACACACACACGAGTGAGGGAAAGGAAGTACTGTTTAGAGCCAGTGTGACTTTCTCCTCTATCGAACGCATGGAGACAAATAGGAAAAAGTAAAGCAGCCCCAAGGAAGAGGAGAGAAGGAAGAAGCCTCCTCAAGGCAGGCCTCGGCCGGGGTGGCCCAGATGAGCACAGTGAACGCTCCCTGCATGGACTACACAGTGGTCCCGCAGGGCTGCTCCCTGCAAGTGGGGTGGTAACCTGAGGTGGCGATGTTTGGTGATGCCATGACCTTGGGTCATTCCAGAGCTCATGGCTGGCTGCCCTCACCCCACACCAGGCCCACCCCACACACCAGGCCCACCCCACACCAGGCCCACCCCACACCACGCCCACCCCACATACCAGGCCCACCTCCCACACCAGGCCCACCTCCCACACCAGGCCAACCCCACACACCAGGCCCACCCCACATACCAGGCCCAGCTCCCACCCAGGACACCCCAGGACTTGCTGCTCTCCATTCCCATGAGCTCATGGGCACAGCGTCCTGTGCAGGAGGAAATGGCTTGGGCCTAGGGCTGCGGCTTCTGGGCTGACGCCATGACATGGGGCCCAAGAATGAGGATTAGCTTTCTGCCCTGTGTGAAGCTCCTGGGGTACCTGCTTCCTTCTGCCCTGTGTGAAGCTCATGGGGCACCTGCTTCCTTCTGCCTGGAAGTCATGACCACCCCAGAGACACCCCCCCCCACCCCGCTTCTGCCCGGGAGTCATCACCACCCCAGGGACCCCGCTTCTCCTAGAAGTCATGAGTCTACACAGAGACCCCACTTCTACCTGCCCCTATGCTTTGTGAGCTGTGAGTTCCTTGCTACGCCCTGCCCTCCTCCAGAGAAAGCCGCTCTGCGCTGGGGCCACAGGCGCAGGGCTGCTGAGGCCCTCGGGGGCTGGTGTCACAGCCACACTGCGTCATCCACTTAGGCCTGACTTGCCGGCGGCCATGCCAGCCAGCACCAGAACAAATTGGGTTGGGGCCTTCTGCACAGCCTGTGACCACCAGAGCGTCTGCTGTCTGGAAAAAATTGACTATTTTCACATGGCAGCAGCTCCCATTCCCAGCTGCGGTGCTCCACGCTGGGGCAGAGGGGGGAGAGAGGTCACCGAGTGCAACGGACCAGCTCGGCCGGAGCACTGGGTGATGGGACAGGGATCTCGGGATAGGTGGGCAAGGAGTCGGTGAAGTGACAAACAGACACAGACTCAAAAGAGTTGCATCTGAGTGTACCTTTTTTTTTTTGGGGGGGGGGGGTCCAGTCGTGGGGCCTGAACTCTGGGCCTGGGCGCTGTCCCTCAGCTCTTCAGCTCAAGGCTAGCACTCTACCACTTGAGCCACAGCACCACTTCCGGCTTTTTTCTTTTTGCTTATGTGGTGCTGAGGAATCGAACCCAGGGCCTCATGCATGCAAGGCAAGCGCTCTACCACTGAGCCACCTTCCCAGCCCATGTAATCAATTTTTAAGAAAAGCAAAGCATTGATGGATTACATGAAAATTGATGACTATCCCACCAACTGTTTAAGCTAAGTGGAGCGAAACAAGTCTAGCATATTGTTTAATAGAATGCGTCATCTATTCAGCCTTTTTATGTTTAATAATTAACAAACCTAAGACAAGGCTGTACTTATATTGTACCCTTTTTATTTTTTCCATATATTTTCAAGTCCCTTTGAAACCATCCTAAAAACCACTTCCAGGTTGAGTCAGGCATTCTCCGTTTTCTATCATTTTAATCCCAATATTTGTTCACATAAATTTCTAATTGTTATTTTAAACTATCTTATTGTTATTTTGATAATAAACACCATAATGGTCTAGATCTACCTAATCTTTGTATAAAGTGTAATGAGTTCCAAAATACCCTTTTTCCTTTTACATTAATCCATCTATTTTCATCTTTATAAGCTCCTGTATAAGGCAATGGTTCATTGGTCGGCTCAGAAATGTGATGTCACTAACTTTATATTTTGTGGGAAGCCACCATCTATTCCCTATAACGTGAGCTGAACTAAACTTAGTCATAACTGTTGGGGGAATCTTTCTTTCCTTTTATTATCAGGGGTCCTTTTTCTAGAACTCTCTAAGCTTCTGGGATAACGTCTTCTAGCTTAGTTTAATTCATTAATTCTGCCTTTTATAACATATCTGGAAATTTTAAGTTTCTATATTTACTATGTGTGAGTTGCAAAACTGCCTGTGAAGTTGTAGGAGTTTCTGGAGGCAGCATCACATCAGATGATTGATTGGGGCATTGCCCACATTTAATCTTTAGTCCTAGTCTTTATTATTCAGAGAAGCCGTCTCTATTGGACTGGAAAAAAACAACATGCTCTGTTCTCGGAGCAATAGAAAAATAGCCAAAATGAGAATAAAGGCAACGAATGTTCAGCCAAGAAGAATATGGTAAGAATAAAGGTAGAGGCTCTAAAGGTGCAGCCAAGGGTATGGGAAGTCTTGAACCAGCACCCCCTTCCTGGGGGCATGCTTCCTTGAAGCTCTTTGTCTAACGCCATCTCTCACGCAGACTCCGCAGGAGGTGGCGTGGCAACCGAGCATCCTAGGATCCGCGCTCCTTGTCTGATGTCCTCACCCTTCGGTTGCCAAAGGTGACAGGGCCTGAGCCCCACCTCAGGCGGCGGTGGAGCAAACAGCCTCCTCCTTAGCCAGAACCATGGCCAGACCCCAGACCACGGAGCCCGCTCCTCACAGAAGCAGGTCATGCTTCTCTCCATCATCAAACCCATGGGGAACTCAGCTTCCACACAACAGAGCAGGTGCACACCGACAGGAAGCCCAAAGCAGTGAGAGATGACTGCCCATCTCCTGCCCGCTACCCGGGGCTGCCCAGGGGCGGTGTGGCCCTCGGCAAGCTAGCCGCCTCTGGGTCCTCTGTGGAGCCCGGAAGCTGAAGCGCTGCGTGCTGAAGTTTTCCAGGCGCGAGAGGCACTATGTGAAGTGCTGCATGCTGGGCCGGGACCCGTTCCCCTCCAGCCACCACAGAGAGCACCCCTCACTTGATTCCTGTGGCTCAGTCTCCTGGATAAGGGGAACACAGTGAACTCCTAACATGTCACAAAGGGCGAGTGTGCAGGCCACACTCCCAGACCCGCCAAGCTCCTCAACAGCGCCCCCCAGGGGGTGCCGGGAGGAAAACTCACTGCAGAGCCCTCATTCCCCGCAGACTTCTCTGAGGGGTTAGGATTCCAGGCATGAGCCACTGACACCCAGCAAAATTAGGATATTTTGCTGAGTCCACAAGCCGATGTTCTCAGATCTACCCTTTGAGAGCTGTAATTTCTACTGGAATTAAGATTGCTTTGGTTCCCATAGTGATTTTATTTTATTTTTTAAGCTGCATGCTGGCTTTTGAGCCAGGACATGTGGTTTGCTGTCCTAACTTGCCAGGAAGGGGCGTGTTCAAGGAGGAAGTCTGAACGACTTACAGCCTTGGGGTGACAAAGCTGGACAGAATATTTTTCGTGTGTCACCTCCCACAGACCCCTGCCACCCCTAGGACCCACAGAGTCATGGGGAACCCCTCACCCCAAGTGCAATGTTGCCTCTTGTCCCCAGCCATCCGCATGAAGCCAGCCAGGTCAGACAGCCCTGTGCAGCCGGAAAAGGTGGCTGACACTCAGGGTCTCCCTGGTCCCCGGCGATAGGGAAGTGCTCGCTGCCTGGTTCTGGTATTTCTGTCCAATCCAAGGTCCACCCAGGCCCAGGAGGGGGCCCGGTCATCCTCTCCAGCACCACGCGCTCTCCTTGGGAGAGGTGCGCCACCTTCCACGAGAAACCAGACTGCGTACGCTCACTATGCCTCCTCCCGTGCAGTCATGTCACTGTGTGCCCGCCAGGGGCCACGGGGCCGGGAAAGACTGCCAGCTGTGCCAGCTGATGGCTTAGCCAAAGGTGGCTGTGATAGCAGCCTGGGGTGGGGTGCGCCTGGCCCGCCAGGGAGAAGCCCCCCACAGCTCACGCCTGCGTCTCAGGCACCCAGGAGGCTGAGATCTGAGACTCACAGCTCAAAGCTGGAACAGGCAGCAAACTCTGCGAGCTACTAATCTCCAATTCACCAACCAGAAGCTGAAAATGGAGCTACGACTCGAGTGGTAAAGCACTACCCTTGAGCTCAGGCCACGCCCAGGCCCTGGGTTCAAGCCCCAGTACCAGCCCAAACGGGGGGGGGGGGGGGAGGAGGGGGAGGAAAGGAAAAAGGGAGGGAGAGAGACAGAGGAAAAGAGAGAGGAATGAGAGACAGAGAAAGGGGAGACAGAGAGACAGAGACAGGAGAAACAGAGGGGCACCGAGTCCACAAGCAGGACACCAGGGGGACTGGAGAGGGAGGGGAAGGGTGCGGGCCCGACAGAAGGGGGCGCTCTAGCGCGGCCCTGCCCCTGCGCGCGCGGCCGCCGGGAGGGGGCGCGCTAGGGCGGCCCTGCCCCTGCGCGCGCGGCCGCCGGGAGGGGGCGCGCTAGGGCGGCCCTGCCCCTGCGCGCGCGGCCGCCGGGAGGGGGCGCGCTAGGGCGGCCCTGCCCCTGCGCGCGCGGCCGCCGGGAGGGGGCGCTCTAGCGCGGCCCTGCCCCTGCGCGCGCGGCCGCCGGGAGGGGGCGCGCTAGCGAGGCCCTGCCCCTGCGCGCGCGGCCGCCGGGAGGGGGCGCGCTAGCGAGGCCCTGCCCCTGCGCGCGCGGCCGCCGGGAGGGGGCGCGCTAGCGAGGCCCTGCCCCTGCGCGCGCGGCCGCCGGGAGGGGGCGCGCTAGGGCGGCCCTGCGCGCGCGGGGGATTCGAGCGCGTTATAAGGCGCGGAGCGGGGACGCGAGGCCTCAGCCGCGGTAGCCCGGAGCCGCCGCCCCATGGCCCCCGCCCGCCGTCCCGCCGGAGCGCGGCTGCTGCTGGTGTGCGCGGCTCTGCAGGCCGCCGCCGCGGACCTCGGCTCCCCGGAGCCGCCCTCGCCGCCCGCCCGCCCCGCCGCCGAGAGCCCGCCGGTAAGACGCGGCCGCCCCTGCCCGCGCCGCGCCGCGCGTGCCCGAGGCCGGCGGAGGCGCGCTGGCGCGTGCCCGAGGCCGGCGGAGGCGCGCTGGCGCGTGCCCGATGCAGCGCGTACCCGAGGCCGGCGGAGGCGCGCTAGCGCGTGCCCGAGGCCGGCGGAGGCGCGCTGGCGCGTGCCCGAGGCCGGCGGAGGCGCGCTGGCGCGTGCCCGAGGCCGGCGGAGGCGCGCTGGCGCACGGGGCGCGCGGGGCGCGGGCCCGGGCCGGAGCGAGGAGTGCGTCGGCCGCAGATGGGTGCCTGGGAGGCCCGGGAGCCGGTATCGGGACGGGGGTCGGGGTGCGGCGCCCGGATCCTGCAGGGCCGCCCTGTACCCCCCCTCTTGGATCTGACGTGTGGCCTGGGGAGGCCCCGGGGGAGCCCCGGGCTGGGCAGGCTTTGCCTTCTGCGCAGGAGAGGCTGGGGCGGGGCTGGTCTCAGTTGGGGCCACCGGGGCCAGGGCCAGGGCCTTTCCTCCCCGCGCTCCCGCCCAGGACCCTGGACAGCAAAGCGCATGCGTTAAGGAGGAGTGGGAAAGGCAGCCGTCCTGGGCCCCTCTTCAGGGACCCCCAGCGCGCTGTATCCCCAGCGAGTCAGGGGGACGTTAGGACTTGGTCTCCAGGAGTCCCAGGTGGGGTTTGGACCTGGGCCCTCTCTCCAGACCAGCGTGTCCCCAGATTCCCAAGCCCTGAGGCTCCCCAGCGAGCGGCTGGCCAGGGAAGTGCCCCGTCCTCACCCGGACTCCTGGAGCCCTGGGTGCAGTGCTCCTCCCGGGCCAGCTGGGACCGAATCCTTGCCCGCGGCTGAGCGCCACACCCCCGGCCTGCTGCGTGGCATTTCCCCACCTCTCCTTCCACCAAGCACACGGTGGGCCCGTGATGCCAAGTCACCAGTTCCGGTGGCCTTGGAGTGTCCGCGCAGCGAGGCGCAGGGGAGCACAGAGAGAGGACCTGGGCTCACCGGCCTCTCTCCATCCGGCCACACAACCCTTCGTCTTCCCAACACACAGCCACCAGAATCCACGGAGCTGAGACCTGGCTGGTCTGTGTGTGGCGGCACCGCCTGGCCAGCCCTAAGATCCTGGGACCGTCACTGACCCAGTGGCCATCAGAGTCCAGGCCCATGACCTCATCTAAGCCCTCTCTGGCCGCTTCCCTCATCCCAGCTGGCAGTGCTGCCTGGAGCCCAGGCCGCCTGAGGGTAACATCCTCTGAGGAGCCTCCCTTGCTGAAGCCCAGGAGTGGGTATTTCTGGAAATATCTTGCTTGGGTCAGAGTCTCAGAAGACTGAGGAAGACAGACATCCTGTGGAGAGGCCTTGAGTCACGGCGTCTCCCCAGCTCGCCTGGCCCTCCACCCCATGCGCCCAGGACCCAGCCCGAGGCTGACCTTGCCTCTCTGGAACTTCGGCCCCTGGGGAGGGCAGGAGGCATGGGGGAGCCAGGGTCCTGCCGCATCAGAGCACTGTGGTCACCGTCAGGGGCAGGGTGGTCATCCCGCATCATCTGGAGGAAGGACTGGAAGAGCAGACCACACCTGCTGTGGAACCACAAACTCCATCTTTCTCCTCCAGCCTGTCCTGGAGCTCAGAGGCCAGGCTATGGTGTGGCTGCTCCCCGTGTCATCCTCCATGGGCTGGAAGGAGGGGATGGGGAGGAGCTGGTGACTCTGGCACCCAGGTGACTTGGGTGTACTCTGCAGGACAGCCCTTGAAGGCTGCTTCCTGCAAAGCATGCTGCGTGGTACTGGCAGGAAGACAATCTGGGGGCTGGCTGTGTTCCAGGAGCTCATCACGGAGCAAACACACAGCGTCGACCCCCGGGACGCCTGGATGCTGTTTGTCAGGCAGAGTGACAAGGGCGCCAACGGCAGGAGGAGGAGCAGGGACAAGGACAGGGGGCTGAAGGTGAGCAGCACGCATTCCCTGCCCTCAGCTCCTTAGGGCAGGGAGCCATTTCTGGCAACACAAGCAGGGGGAGCCCAAGGGGCCCAGGCCGGGGTCCTGAAAGGGGACAGGGGAGGAAGTAACAGGGGTCCTGGCTCCAGCCCTTCTCCCCACAACCCTGGATGCGAGTACCTGGTGGTGCAGCCTGCAGGTGGGCTGAAGTGACCCCACCCGCATTCAGCACTCAGCTGATGCTGAATCTGCTGGCTGCCTTCAGCATTGAGCCTCCAAAAAGCAGCTTGGGATCATGGCTGTGCTCCCATCCGGGGCGCTGGCCTCTGTCCGGAGGCCGACCCTCCCCTGCCCAGCGTCTGACCGGATCATGGGAGGCAGGGCTGGGGGTAGGCGGCACCAGAGCCTTGCTCTGACTCAGTTGGCCCTGCCCAGTTTCTCCACGCAGGGGGACTGCCTCCTTCTCTGCCTAGTGGGGGCCTCCCAGTGAGCTCAGGCCCTCAGTGCCAGGCATCCACTCTGGGCCCGCAGCTTGGTGTGCCTCAGGGCAGTTGAGACCCTGAGGGAACTCCTCATGGAAGGCCAGCGCCCCTCTCTGCTGCAGTGGGGAAGGAGGGCTCTCCTGCCTGCCCCCAGTGGCAGGACCCAGAGGAGGGGCCATTGGTGACTCCCAGCTGCTTGGCTGTCCCTTCCAGCTCGGCCTGCCTGGGCCCCCTGGGCCCCCAGGACCCCCAGGACCTCCCGGTGCCATGATTGCACCCGAAGTGCTGCTGGAGGAGTTCTGCCAGCTGTTGAAAGGTAAGGGTGCCGCCCTCAGACGTGGGCTGTGGGGGCCTGGCTGGGCCTGGGGCTCACCTCAGCGCTCAGCAGGCACCCACGGACACGGGCACGGGCAGCCCTGACTGGGGGGGGGGCGGGCGGAGATCATGGCAGGGAGAGGAGGAAGTAGATGGGCACTTGGTGTCCCTGTAAGTGCTCAAGACCAACCCTGTGCTTGGGTCTGACGGAGGCCAGGGCATCCCACAAGGCCTGGATTTCACCGCATTTGTGAAGAGCCACCGGGGCCCTCCCCTCTTTTCACTCCAAGTTCCTGTTGTTTTGTTGTTGTTATTGGGTGATTTTTGTTTTTTTCCTTTACTGTGTGTGTGAGTACTGGGGCTTAAATTTGGGGCGCTGCCCCTTGGCTTTGTTGCTGAAGGCTGACTCTTAGGGGCAGTTGATTAGAGGTTAGTGTCATACAGATTTTCCTGCTGGGCTGGCTTCGAACCACTGAGGTGATCAGATCTAGGAAAGTTGCAACACTTTTTTTTTTTTTTGGTCCGTCATGGGGCTTGAACTCTGGGCTTGAGTGTTGTCCCTCAGCTCTTCAGCTCAAGGCGAGCTACTGCTTTAGCCACAGCGCCACTTCTGGTTTTCTAGTGGTTTATTGGAAATGAGTCTCCCGGATGTTCCTGCCCGGGCTGGCTTTGAACCGTAATCTTCAGATCTCAGCTTCCTGAGTAGCCAGGATGACAGGCGTGAGCCACCGGTGCCCCGCTCAATACTTCTTTCTTTACATACAGATTCCAAGGCAGGGTTTGTCAGGGAGGTCAGAGGTCATCGGGGAGGTCAGAGGTCGTGGGTGCGGGTGCCAGTGGCCTTGCGCTCCCGCCTAGGGGCGACTCCCTAGGGGTCCTAGGGGCCCCGGAGGGGGCGGGGCTCTGCCTCCACCCCACCCCTCCCTGGCGCCCACTGCTGCTCTGTGCCAGGCGACTCGCAGCAGCGCGAACCCGCGGGGCCCGCGCGCTGCCCGCGAGGCCCCGCCCAGCCGGCCTCCGCCCGGGCCGACGACGCGGACGCGGGAGCCCTGCTGCAGCTGCTGGCCGCACCCCCGACCCCGGCCCCGAGGGCGTCCCGCGTGGAGGCTGCTTTCCACTGCCGCCTGCGCCGGGACGCGCCCGTGGAGCGGCGCGCGCTGCGGGAGCTCGGCGCCTACCACCTGGTGAGCCGGGGGCGGGGCCGGGGTCGCGGGGGGGCCGGGCGGGAGCCGGGCTAGTGCCCGTGGGGGCGTGGTCTTGCGGGGGCGGGGCGGGATCTTGTGGTGGGCGGGGCCCGCGGGGTGGGGCTGTGGACCTGGCCCCGTCAGCGTTAAGCGGTCTCATGGTGGGGTGGAACGCGAGGGGCGGGGCCTATGGGAGGGCGTGGCCGGAGTGCCCGCAGGAGTCTGAGTGGCGTGGTCTGTGGGCGGGGCCGCGGGCCGGCCCTGGGTGACCTTGCCTGCGTGTGACCTTGCCTGCGTCCCTCAGCCCGACGCCGAGGGCGCCTTCCGTCGCGGCCTGGGCCTGAACCTGACCAGCGGCCAGTACACGGCGCCGGTGGCCGGCTTCTACACGCTGACCGCCACGCTGCACGTGGGTGAGGCCCGGGGCCTGGGGACCGCCCGCTGCCCCGCCGCGCCCAGCTCTGCACAGCCCCGGTGACCCGACCCGCCTTCCCACAGCCTTGGCCGGGGAGCCCAGGCGGGGCCCGCCGCGGCCCCGGGGCCGCCTGCGCCTGCTCGTCTGCATCCAGTCCCGGTGCCAGCGCGACGCGTGAGTGCCGGCTGGGCTGGCGGAGCGCCCTCCCGGCTCCCGGGGCCGCCCCTTTCCTCCCGCCCCTCCTCCCCTCCAACCCCTCACCCCCCCTCCACCCCCCCTCCCAGGCAGCAGGTGGGGCCCAGATTGTGATCCGACGCCCTGCCCTGCCCAGACCGCCCTGCGCCTCCCAGGACCTCCTGCCTCCATCCTGGGTCCCCTGACACGAGGAGTCTTCGGGGCCAGAGGGAGTCCTGGTAACCCCACACAGACGACTCTGGGGCTCCAGGAGCCCCCTCCTCAGTGACCTTCCTACATAACCTACAACCCTTTCCCCTGCTTGGAGGCAGGCCGAGTCTCAAGTCTTCGTCCAGCTTTGGAAATCATGGATTTACTGGCCTCCATAAGCATTTTCAATCGGCTGCTGCCACTTTTCAGCCTCCATTAGCACCTTCAGATGTCCCGATTCCCATCAGAGCCATCCGGGTCCCTTGTCTGGTTCTGGCCTCACCTTTCCTGGTGCTGACAACATGCCTTTGGCCCTGTATCTTTCTTTCCCCTGGCACCCAGTTCAGACACTGTATCCACCTTAAGATAGGCCAGAACCAGGCACTTTTCTGGACACAGTGTGGGTCCTCAGGAAGTTGAGCTTGCCAGGTAAAGCTGACAGGATCTCAGGACCCACTTACCCTTTCTGTCTTGACTGCAGCTCCTTGGAGACCGTCATGGGCCTGGAGAGCAGCAGCGAGCTCTTCACTGTCTCTGTGAGCGGTGTCTTGTACCTGCAGGTGCGTGGGGCTGTGTCCAGCATGGCTGTGGCTGGGCCGGGAGGGGTGCTGTCAGGTGCTCAGGACCCAGGGGCACAGCACCGTCAGACTCCAGACCTGGGAAAGGATACAGGACAAGCCTATGGCACAGATAGAGTGGGCTTCAGGCCTCATCCCCCAGGCTGCCAACCTCGTTAGCACCTGTACAGTGTATCCAGGTTTTAGACCTCCTGAGCAGCACTGTGGTGGGTACCCCCAGCCTCCCAGACCGCTCTGACCATGGAGGACAAGCACAGACCTTTGTATCTGAGCCCACTGCAACCGTGAGAGGCTTGAGGCCGAAGTCAGTCACTAGTCACTGTGAGGATTTAGCATGTGGTGGGGTTGTTCATGTAAAGGTGGTTTTCCTAAAAAGAAGGCCGTGCAGAGGTGTGGGTGTCATCTGAGGCAGGCTCCCCAATCCTGTGTCCTAGCAGCAGGAACATGACAGTGCTGCAGTGTGGCCCACACCAGGCTTGAGTAGCACTCTTGCGGCTCTGACTCCAGGCAAGCCTGTGAGACAAGCCATGTAGCAGGGAAACTGAGGCTCATGTCCCGAGCCCCGCCTCACAATCCCTTCCCCCACCAAAACAAAACACAAAACTGCAGGAGGAGGAAGCAGTCACACAGAGCAGCCAGGGACTCTGGCTTCAGTGTAAAGCCTACCAAGCACTCACTTGACCCAAGCCAGGCCTCTCCTGAGGCAGAGCGGCAGAGGCGTGGGTGCTGTGGCACACTGCCACAGGGCCAGCCCTGTGCCTGACGGGCACCCTGTCCTGCAGATGGGTCAGTACATCTCTGTCTTCTTGGACAACGCCAGCAACTCCTCCCTCACGGTGCGCAGCAGCTTCCACTTTAGTGGGGTCCTCCTGGGCGTGTGAGCGGCCGCCCCAGGCTCGCCTTCATCTCGCAGATGGAGCAGACCCAGAAGCCTACCCAGCCTTGGGCCAATGCAGGGGGAATCTGCCCGGAACTTGGCCCAGAGCTGGCCACGACAGGCCAGGTGGTCCTGCAGGGGTCACTCACAGCCAGCGGTCCCAGAACTAGTGACTTCAGGATGCCATGTGAGCCGAGCCGCCAGTGTGCCTGGAGATGCCCAGCGTGCCTGGCCGCACCTGCTTCTCCCCAGCTGCACACCTAGTTTCCTCAAGCCTCAGATTCTTTCCTTGGCCTGGCGCAACCTTTTCCAGATTTAGCACTCACGGCCTGCAGGGGGTCCTGGCAGGATCCTGCCCTGCAAGGGGAGTGACCCTTGCTCAGAGGGGGTCCAGACCATCTTCCCAACCAGCAGTGACCACTCCCTGTCCACCCAGGCAGCTGCTCTTCTGTCTCCCTCTCTCAGCTATACCTCTCCTTGCTGGTGGACATACAAGACATACTGTGGACCCTGGCACAGCAGGACAGACTTTGTAGGAGGCAGTGCACCTAGACTTGTCAAGTGCACTCAAGATGAGCCACCAAGTCCCGCCCAGCCTTCCTGAGGGAACCGCACAACCCCGCTCCCCTCCCAGGGCTCTGGACTGGCTGCTACCAGGAGGGGTAGCATCCCGAGGTCCTTCCAGCCAACCTGCAGCTGGTGGGGTGAAGCCCATGCTTCCCCTAGGCTGGGCCCTGTGACCTGGTGGGCGTGGATGGCTCTAGGGGTCCTTCCTGTTTGAGTGAGTGTGGTGCTGGCCACACTGGCGGAGGCAGTGCTGAGGATGGAGAGAGCAGTTTCCAGAGGGGATGCAATGTTATTTAAGCTCGAAGCCCCCCAACATTTCCCAAGGACAGGACTGGCCCCTGGGGCTGGCAATAATGACAAGGCCCCCAGCAACACCCTCAGAGCCCACTGCCTGCTGAGCAGCTGACCCTCAACCCCAACACAGCCATAGGCTGAGGCATCCAGTGCTGGGAGACCCCTCCCCCCCAGGTGTCCAACTGGCCTGGTGGCAGGGGTGCTAAAGTCTGGGAGAAGGGGACGATGGCCAGTCCTGTGACCTTCCAGCTGGCCCCTGGACCATGTGACCACATCCAGGCTGACCCAACCAGCAGCCTTGTCCACACACTAAACTTAAAACTTCTCCCCAAGCCAAAGCAAAGACACGGCACAGCAGACAACCACTGTGCCCATGGGCAGGCCGGCCAGATTCTCAGTAGGGCTCAGACCCGCCCTACCAGGAAGAACCCACAAACCCTGATAAGGGGGTGGTGGAGCCCCGCTCTCCTCAGGATTCTACCGTGTATCCAGCGGGCACAGACACTTTAGAGAAGTTATCTTTTCCCTTGAAAAGCCACATGGGCACATATCTCGCCTCACCTGTGTGTTGCGCAGCATGTGGGGGGAGAGAATCTCACTTTGATGAGTAATGTGAACACAGGCTGTGGAAATAAAGGGCCAAATGAGGACGCACTGTCTTCATCTTTCAGGCCAGGCTCTCACCAAAGGCAGTTAGAAGCCGACTGAAAGGCCAGCCAGCCCCTGACCTGGGGGCAAGGGCTGCCCTGGAGGCCAGATGCCACAGCACGAAGCCTCTCCAGAGGGGTGGCCCTGGGACACCCAAATCCAGTCTTGGGACATAGGATGACTCCTGGCCTGCTGTAGGCAGGCAGTGTCCTGACAGGTGCATGTGTATAGTAAACATCCCCAGATGGTCGTAGAAAAGCAGTTTAGCCCCTTGGGTCATCCACAGGCAGGGCTGAGTAGCTGGTCTCGCTACTCTGTTCTTGGGAGACATCTTGCCAGGGAGAACCCCTCTGAGGTGTCTGTATGGTGCCCATGTCAGGCTGAGGCCATAGTAGAGGTGACTGTTCAATGTGGCCATGCCATTGCACGCTTAAGACCAAACCTGAGATGCCAAGCAGTGTTCCAGAGTGCTAGGTCATCTCTCTCACCAGGGCCAGCGAGGGTCATACGTTAGGCGGGGGCCGAGTTCCTGGCCAAGCCTGAGCTCTTGCTATTGACATCAACACTGTTGCTGAGTGGTTCTGTTCCTAATCTAGGTGTTAACCAGCCCCCATTTCAGTGTCCCGTGAAGTCCCTGTTCCCCAGGGGAGTTGTCAGGAGGCTAGACAGCTCAGAATATGCCACGAGCTGCGGGAAGGTGCACACAGCAGCCAGTCTACAAGGCCCACTCTCAAGACCAACCTACTTTCTGAAAGGTCCAGCCACCCAGTGTAATAAGGGAACTCAAAAGACTAGGAAAAAAAGGAACCTTTATTTACAACTGTGGAGTCCCACAGACCGCAAAACAGTGCACGCGAAGGGGCCTGGGCGCCAGCACTGCGCACAGCCTCAGTGGCCAATCTGCACCAGCATCACCGTGACGTTGTCTGCAGAGCCCCGCTGCACCGCCTTGTTGGCCAGCCTGTTGCACGCGGCTTCGTAGCGGGCATCCAGGGCAGGCTTCCCTTCCCGGGACTGGATCTTTTCATCCTACCAGAGACAAATAGGCCCTAAGTGAACCAGGACCCTGCTGCGCCCCCCCCCCCCCACCCCCGCTGCTGTTGTTCATTTCAGACTCCATGCCAGGGAGGCTGGCAGAGCAAAGTGGCCAGTGAGTTCCCTGGGCATGGGGCTGCCCAGCTCCCTGGACTCCTGTGTCTCCACAAGTGAAGAGCACCCCTGTGACATTCTCACCTCCAGACAGGATAAGATGAAGTTCACGGCTTCTTCCGGGGTAAAGACTTTAAAAAGCCCATCACAGGCCAGCAAAATAAATCTACAGTGCCAGGGAAAACAAATGGGTTTTAGCAGCAAGCTTTATAAACATAGAAATGGAGATAAAATAAGTATTTGTCCCACTATTCAGTGGGCAAAGCCATCTTTAAAGCAGTAACTGGTATTAGAACAAGGCTAAAACTCCTTACAAAGTGGTGGGTGGGTGGGATGTTGTAGAATGAAAATGGGGTTACCATTCTCCCCCCGGGAAACAAAGCACACTTGATACTAAGTGCTGAGCTCAAACAAACAAGGGCAAGCTCTGATGACAGCGGGCTGGGGCGAGGGGCGAGCACAGCGAGGCTCCATCATGCGGGCCAGGCACCTGCTCAGGAGCTGTCAGGCCTGAGTGAAACGTCAACAGGACCCCTCCCCGAGGCAGCTGCCGGGCACCAGGGGACTTGGGGGGGCTGAAGGCAGCACCTTCCTTCCCTAACTACGCCTGAGTCTATGTCTGTTCTCTTCTTCAGCCATATTTCTTGAGCACATGGTCTGAGTGTGAGACAGTGGGGAGATGTCCAAGCAGGCTCCTGCTCCCTCCGTGTGCAGTCAGACCCAAATAATCACATGGACCTCTGGTTATAGTGCGACAAATAAAAGCAGCTATGAGGCAGATCAGAGCACAAGGCAAATGAGCTGGACCTGGTGTAAGGCAGACAGGCGTTGTCTAAACCAGGAGGGATTGCTGGAAACACTTCCAGGGTGCTAGGGTGGTGGACACCACGGCACATGACACACGACTCAGGGAAGGAGAGTGGGAGGAGAGCGTTAAGGGCCAGGGCCAAGGCAAGACACAGTCTCTTTCTCTGCAGCTCTGGGACAGGGGGCCACTCTTTAGCTCAGTCCTGGGAGCCCCGTTTTCTGTTCTCTCCTCACTCACTCCTGCAACTAGCTTAGTTCAGCCACTGTTATCGGTAGCGATTGCTTGAGGAGCTACTCTGTGAGACGTGTGCTGTCTCCGGGCACTCAGAACAGAAGACACACCGTGGACACACTGGTGCAGCGCAGCCTATTTGGCTCTGCTTCTCCACAAATTATAATGCATCAGAGGAAATGAGGACCCTGCACCGTTGGTCCCCAAAATACCCTGTCACCCCATCCTCCAAGTCACCTGCCATGACTGGAACCCACCCCACCGCCACTACCAAAACCTCCCAGAGCAGACCACACTCCTTTGACTCTGGACTGCACTGCCCACCCTACGTGTGGACACTCTGAGCCAAGTTCTCTTCATGTCTGCACCGTGCTGAGAACATGGTTCCCATAAAAGCCAGCAAAGGCTGAATACAACTGCAAAGGCCAGGAAGATGGACAACCTCGTATACTCAGACTTGTATCCCACCAAGGTGATTTTACCTGTCATTGGGGGTCAGCTGGCAGCGTCTGATGTCAGGCACAGAGGTGACCCCACAGCGCTTGTACTGCCCATCCCCGATGGAGCGGGACACCTCAAGCACGCCCAAGACACGCCCATCCCTGAAATGAGGAGAAAACATTTTCAGATTCCACCTACCTGACTGATCAGAAGCAATAGTGCTAGAATCTCATCCCATAGCAGAAACGGGAGCGAAGACCGAGGATGGAGAGTCCACATGGGCCAGCACGGTGGACATGTGTGTGTTTCGGTCTACTATACAGTGCTAGATTCTGAAGCACACCTTCTGTTGGAGGGGAGAACCCATGTCTCACACACGCTAGGCAGGCACACTACGCTGAGCTACATCCCAGCCCTGAGCACACTTACTTTACATCAATATGGCTTAATGTTAACGCAGACAGTACCCTGCACATTCTGGCTTAGGAAGAGATGGGAGCCGACAGGAAGAGGGCTGGGGCAGTGACTGCGGGGATGGTTCTGGTCCAGCCTCACAGGCGCCTCACTGGCCCTCAAGCCTCCATCTGAAAACTAGGCTGGGAGAACACACACACCTGTCATCCAGGCTGTGCTTGGTGCAGCACCGCGGAGGCTCGCAAGCCACACACAGCTTTGGAGATGTCCTGCAGCTAAGTGGACATGGCAGGAATCCCTCCTGGGCCTGGACTGCAGTCACGGTGCTCACTGAGCCCCAGCACCCAGGGAAGGTGGCTCATGGCCCAGTCCCCCTCTGTGCTCCTCAGCACTAAGCCATTCCCTGAGTCCTCCACTATGCAACAGCAAGAGGGACACCAAGCACACAGGAGCGAGGCGGAGGGTGAGGATGGGAGCAGGGCTGCGCAGCGCGAGGGCAGACAGCTCCAGAGGCAGCTCCAAGCTTGAGGCCCTGGAGAAGGCCACCAAGTGCATCCTTTGGTGGCCCAGTGACCCGTGCCACCTCCTCAGTGACACATTTCTGTCAAGCCCCATAGAATGCAAGGACAACCTCTGTAATGGAGGGTCTCCGAGGCCGGTTACCACAGCGGCCCCTGGGGCAGCACAGCTCGGGTGGAGGCGTGGAAACCTCTCCAGGCTGAAGGAAAGTGAGCACCAGAGGCTGCACCTCTCGCTCCTATTATGAGTGAAGCCCCAGGAAGTCTAGGAACGCGCCTGAGCTGCGGAGAAGAGAAGCAACACTGCGCTATGGGCACACAAGACGCCACTTGCAAGAACCCGCTGGTCCAAGGCAGGTTCTCCCCAACAAACTGCTGGGGTTTCACTTGCCCTGCCTGCTTTTCCCTTTCTTCCCTGCTCTCCTTTCCTGCGTCCCTCCAGAGTTACAATGCTTCCAGGAAGTAGGTTTTAAAGTCTCAGCCTACCAGGCCAACCCGGGAGGTAAGCCGGCACTACTCCCAGGACCAACTGTCCTGACCTTACATACACACTCTCAACCCTTGTTCATGCAGCTTCCTTTCCCTTTGCTTTTCCATCTGCCAATCAACCAGACAAATGTTCGCGCCCTAGGGGCATGCCAGTCAACATGTCCCTTGCATCTTAGCTGGGTCTGCTGATACTTTCTTATCCAGGTCTTTCTCCACAGTAGGAAACAAGGGACTAAGCCTTCTACTCCTCGTGGATTCTGGACTCCTCTGGCTACTAAAGCCAGCTGGAGACTGCTGACTCCCTCCTCTAGCTCGTGAGCCAAGGTCTTGGTAACTGTCAAGGATGGCTGTGTGCAGCCATGGCTCGGAGGTAAAGGACCCTCTCCAAGGCCAGTGATGAGCATGATGTGTGCTATGAAGACACGTGAGGCTCTGGTTCTTAAGAGGACCGTGAGTCCAGGACTGACTCAGTTTTAGGCACACACTACCAACAGATCAAATCTAGCGCTACCTGAAAACCTCATCTTCAGATAGCCATTACTGTCGTTACCTTCTCAGAGCAATTACCTGCTGCATTCTGCCTTTAGTGTAAAGAAGGGAATGAATGCACATGCAGATGCCATAGTGTTTGAGAATCACCAGAAAAATCAGGAAATGGGATGAAAGGGCAGGAAAAGTATGAATGTCACTTTACTCAATTCAATTTTGAACCACGTAATAGAGGGCTTTTTCATTTTGTGCTGGGGAGATTTACACTTACAATTGACCTTATTAGTCATTTTAACAGCACAGCATTAAAGCATTCATTCATGTTGCTACAATCATCACCAGTCTGTCTCTAACACTTTCTCATCTTCCCAAATGGAACCTGCCCCAGTAAGCACTAGCTTCCACACTTTCATTGGCCCAGCACCCCCATTTTTCTGTGTCTCTAGGCATCTGCCTCCTCCAG